AAACTATGATTGTCGGTGAAGACAATGTGAAAATTTTTTTAGTGGTGTAGCTTCAAGTGACTATACTTTCTATGGTGGAGTATGATTGTCGGTGAAAACAATGAAAACTTATGTATTATTCTCAATCAAGGTGGAGATTGTTGTGGTTGGTTGAAAACATACATGTTGAAGTATCACATTGCTTATTTTTGTGAAAGAAGAGGGGTCCAGAGTTATATGTAGGATTAAAGTTTTTCTAAGTCCCACATTGCTTAGTTTAGTGAATGAAAAGTGAGTCCAAAATTATATATAGGACTCAAGTTCTTCGTTAAAAGATGTAAAAGTCAAAAACACTTTAAACGCATATTTGACTTTCTTTGTTCTCTTATACTATTGTATTAGAGTTTTGTGAGATGTAATTAAATATTTATCTTGGAGGGTGTGCTACTGGCCTAACGGTTGTGTCTTTTTTTCTAATTTTAAAATATCCAAATTATGTTCTTATGTTGTGATTGCATTTCTATTTTTTTTTTTATGTTTTTTTTTAACACATTATTTTCTCTTTAAAAAATTATGTTATATTGTGATTGTGTTCTTATTTTTTTTCTATGTTTTGTTTTTTTCTAATACATTCTTTTCTCATAAAGAAAAATTATGAATTATTTTATAAAATTTATTTTTATTAAAAATATTGAAAATTTTATAAATTAAAATTAATAATTAAATAAATAATAAATTATATTTAAAAATATAATAAAAATAATAATATTAATCAATCATATAATAAGATTAATTTAATAAAAATAAGAGTGTTTTTTATGATTTTATTATATTTTTTATTCTTGTATAAAAATCTGTAATAATACACATTTAAAATGAAGTATTATGTGAATGAATTCTCTCAAATCTATATTCTAGTACTTTTGAACATGTGGTTGGGATGATATTTGGGACTTTGACAAGATGAAAAAAAAAAGAAGAATGATCGATGCTGCCACATCTTGTCGCCTAGACCTCTAAAACTTTATATATTGGGTGATAAAAAATAATTTTATTTAAAATATAAGGGTATCTAATAAATTGAATAATAAAATTTTGATTTAATTACTAATTCATGAAATTGATCCTTTTTATTAAAATTGGAAAATTCTTTGTTTGTTGTTAAGAAATTTCACTTAAAATTGATGGAAGTGTTAATTTTAAAATGATGTCATGAAATGTGACCAATCAAACATATAAATCAATTTTAAATTTAGAGTCAAATCTCAACTCAAAATTTTAAAGATGTTAAACAAATAAGTCATTTTTTTTATAAATTCAACATTTCACTAATTCATAAATAATATGGGATTATATAATCACTCACAATTGCATTCAATATATATATTACTTTAACATTATCTCTAATATTATCATTTCTAATTTTATCATATCTAATCTTACTACATATTCAATGCAACATCTTTATATTTACTACATTTATTTTATTATAGTATTGATTCTTAAACGTCCAAGATTATGTGATATAATATGTCGCAAGTTGAATAAAAATTTTCTTTCAGTTTAAAGAGTCCATTTCTATCACATAAAGTTTCGAAAACTTTCTTCCATTTCAACTATCCCACTTAAATTTGATAGTTTAATTTCTCATCTATTTAAATTATTATATTTAATAAATTTGCATAACTTTAAAGATTGTTAAAAGATAACACGTCATAGTAAAAAAACAAAACATTTTAAAAACTTTAAAGATAGAATCTATATAAGTTAAACGTTATTTAAAAAGTAGATGTGTTATAAATTTTTAATGCATAATTGTTTAGTACAAAAACTTAATCAAATGGATAAAAAAAATTAAATTTAAAATAAAAATAAAAATTAATTTCGTAAATGAGATAAAATAGATAACTATAATTATAATTTCATCTAAGTTTTTTGATATAAATATTATATTTAAAATTAAAAGATAAATTTAATTTTAAATTATAATCGATTATCAAGACAAGATCAATAATAATTAATAAGAGATTAAATATATCAAAATAACTCCTCTAAAATTAATTTTGATTAGTGTTAACAATTTTCAATTGCAGAACACAACTCAAACTTATTGATGCTAGATATTGTTGAATCAATTAGGGTATATAATTTGTGAAGCAAAAAACGTTCCACTAAAAAGTTCAGGTGGATGATAATTACTATATTCACAAATAAATTTGATTTGATTGTATTCTATTTTTCGCAGCACAAAGAAGAAGATTCATCTATGAAAAGAGGAAATCTTTCAAGTGGAGAGAATATGGTAGATCGTCAGCATCATTCACATGGTAAATTGGTAAAGTGGTTCAATTATTTCATCATTGGGAAGGAGATAGTGTAAAACAAGAATTTCTTTCTTTTTGTTTCCCAAATCTCTTCTTTGGGAAAACCATGTCCCTACTAGTGATTATGTTTTTTTTCTTCTTAATGTTATGTTTCATTAAATCTTCGAAAATATTTTAAAATATAATTAAACACGATATTTTTGGAAGAGATAGATTCTTTTGTTAGATCACACTTCTGCATATACAGACATGGAAGCAATCATTTTATCAATATAATATCTACTGTACAATATGTATGACATCATCATGCATGCTATTGAATCTCAACCAATCAACACAACCAGCTTTATTTATTTGAATACCTTAATTAATTTATTTTTACTATATAGTTCTTATTTATATTATACGAATGAATAAAAATGTAGATTTAAACTTGATGAAACCTACGAAGACTTACCCAAAAGGCAACATGAAGTGTCAAATCCAAGAATAATAAGTCACATTGTGATACATAACTAGTCAAGTCCTAACAGAAACTTTATATCAAATGGAAGCAAATTGGAAAAACACACAGACACACAATTATTTACTCATGCCTTGCTCTTCACTATGTACAAGAGACAAATTGTCCTTATTTTATACCCTTTTCTTTCCAGACTAATCGATTATGTCAAAATCAAAAACAGTATAAAATGATACTAATACATTATTTGATGTGTCTAATATCAACTTTAAGAAATATTTTAAGGTGAACATATGACTCAAAATTTTCAATTTTCCTCTAATTTGTCTAACACTTTTTCTCTCTTCATTTATTATCTATATACACCATATAAACTCAACTTTCACTTAATATTAGTGGTAATAATAAATAAAAGTACAACATTATTTTGTTAGCTGTTTTTTAGCCATTTTCTTCTTTTATTGGATCAGTTTCTGCCACATCTTTTTTTTATTTTTAACTTTTACTATTAATTTAAGTATCTTTCATACTTTTTCTTATAGCATAATTTTACATTTAAAAAAAAGGAAGTGGTATAAATAAATAATATTATACTATCATTATCAAGTTTTTTATTTATAAAAAAACAGATATCATACAAGAGAGTAATACAACGATTACTCGAACAAGTTAATCAAATAATACATTATTCTTATCAAATACTAATATATTTAACAATACAACTGATATATACAAATTATTAAACCGTGGATAATGTACAAAATAATAATTAAATAGTACAAATAAAGAAAATATCACCTTAAAAATTTAAGGATTGTTTTGCAAATAAATATTGTCTAAATTTTGAATATTTTTATAACATCTAATTTTTAAAATAATAGTAACACTTACTATAATATATGAAATACTACTATATAGATATAGATAAGTGACAAATACGTGGTTCACAACCGTTGACCTTTTATCTATAAATAATGTAATGAAAAAAAAGGCATATATGAAATGAAACCATGTATATAGTTAAATGTCATATAGCACAAATATCATAAAAGATGAGAGAGGCCATTCATGAGGATGAAAGAGGAATCTGCATCATCAGAAATCAGAATGTTATGGAAAGTTCAGAAACCATAGCCTTTATTTTTGTTTTAATTTTCCATTGATCTAACAAATGTGTCTTGTACTCTTAGGTTTAAAAATGCAGTGTGTCTTTATAGTATATATTTATATTTCTGCATGTGCATTTAATATTTGCAAACACACTATTGATAAGCAATATTTCCCGTTTTAAATTCAACTTCACGTATAACAAAGATATATTATAATGGAATTTTTACAGTATCAGCACATGGAATACTTACTCTTGCATGGTTGGAATACAAGTTTTCATTAGTTCAAACATCCAAATTTAAATAAAGATCAAAACCGTGTTTTAGGTTCAATTTCAAACCAGCTAGCAAGCACAAAGTTAAACAGGAAAAAAGCAAAACTAGCTAGAGCTAGGTTCTAAATTTAAAACCAATTAGAAATAAACATATTAATATATGCTATATGGCTATTTAAAAATACAAAATAGAGAGAAAAATTAAGCTTTTTCAAAATTATCTGTGTATTTTGATTATCATTAACAGAAACAAAAAGTTGAGGGTAAAAGTAATCATTTAAAATTGAAAAATGGTAATATTTTGTATAAAATATCTTATTGAAATTGAAAATGTGACAATAGTCTATTCTTTTTTAATTGTCAATATTTTGAGAATGTCCTTTATTCCTTATAATATATAGATATAAATAATTCAACATGAAAAGAATTACAATTTTCTATAAAATAATGCAAGTAATGAATCAAAAGAAGACACACACTACACTAATTAAATTAAACTACATTAAATAATAGAATCATATAGATATCCATTATAAAATACACATAGAAAGAAACAATAGCTTTGGCTAGCTAGTTTTTCAAGAAGGTGAAAAATAAATATATTTTTAAACGAAACATTGACAATTTTGCACAAAAATCAAACATCCTTAATATAATAATCTCTTTTTCTTCTAGTACTTGAATATGTGTGTGAAATTTACCTCTACTTCTAGGCCACAACACAACAACAATGTCCTCAAATGATTGAAACACAAACCTTGGTGAAAGAGAAGTATAATATGTGGGATAATATATATACTTAGCTTCATGATCCCCATAATAACTACTCTTTCTTCCCAATTTTTTGTTTTCAAGACCTTGGACGAGAGAAGAATTGCGTACCACTAGACGACATGAAGGCGTTCATTGGCGCCGGATACAAGGAAGACGGATCAACAAGTGCTCCGGAAGAAACAACAGTGGTATCAGAGTCGGCGATTAAGTTCAACGGTTGAGCAACGGGAACGCCACCGCCGGAAGTTTCGCCAATCATGTAATTACTATTATTATAAGTATTGTTATTGTTGTTGATAGTGTTTTCAGGACCAAAATCATAGAGAATCCCTTTGAACAAATGTCCTCCAATGTTGACAGCCGTTTGATATGCAAATCTTTCATCCGCATCGTCTATTGAGCTAACCCTTACACACCTGAACTCAGCTGGTGAGCTTACAACAGCAGGAAAATTTGCTTCCTCTAACCCTTTTTTCAACAAAACAAAAAGCCATCAGCATATATAAATATATATATTATAATACTAATATTTGGTTATGTTAATCCATGTGTTAACAAACACAATGCAAAAATACATACTATATTTAGCTGATCAATATTCTAGAATTAGAGAATGACATAGTGGTGAGTGAGGTGAAAGAGAGAATGTGCTAAGAAAGAGGAAGAAATTGAAACAGTTTCTTTCTTCGTCAGAGCTACTAAATAACAGTATTGTTTTTCGAAAAAGAAAAAGGGTTTGAAGGAAATATAATAATAAATAAATAAAAAAAGCTGGTAGAATAGAATACATAGATATGAAAATATGGTGAGATTTGGGTTGAACACGCAATCGATACGGTAGGATTGTAAGCAGATATACTTCCAAAACTTTCTCTGGAGTGATTTCTCCATCTTTTCAGAGAATTCCTCTATAAACCAAAAGATTCTCTCTATGCTTTCGCTTTCCTTTATTTCACCACTCAGTCTCTTAACAATAACACTGAAAAGAGTCAATCACGGAAACTGCTAGTGTTTCTGATTAACACATCTTACACCTATGTCATATGTTGAGTATAACAACAAAAGAAAAAGAATAGTTTAATAAGAAGAATATTAATAATGTTACCTGATGGAAAATTGCGAGTGGAAACAAGAGCGTTGGAGTCTCTTGGGCGTTTGGAAATGTCTCTTTGTAAGGACGAAGAAGATGATAACTGTTGTTGTCTTTCACGGCGTCGTGAAGCTGGAACCCAAGTGCTTTTCACATGAGTTTGACACTGAAATCCACGACTCTTGCAACAAGTCCTACATCTCATGTGAGGACAATCTTTCTTCGCTTGGTTACCACAATCTTGACAGCTTATCCCCTCACCGCCACCAGATGAAGATGACCTCATCCCCATATTTAAAGACTGGTGTTGGTGATCATCCGACGAAACCCTACTCGGTCCGACTCCGACTCCTAATCCATACAGATCTCGCGAGAAAAATGGTCTTGCAACATGCGTTGATATGACATCTTCACCTTGCTGGTCATGTTGATGCTGCTGATGCTGGTGTTGGTGCTGATGCTGCTGCTGTTGCTGTTGTTGGTTCCATAGTTCTAAATTTCCTCTATAAGATGAAACATCATCGTTTTTGTTGTACCAGAAAAGAGTCTCTTGAGGAGGAATCTGATTCTGACCTTGTTGTGACTCCCCATCTCCTTGTTGGTTTCCTCCTCTTCCACCTCCTAGAGAGAACAAACCAGCCATTGTCTCGATGAAACCCTTAACCTTAACCCTAATAATAACAACTTGACGTCTTCTTCTAATGGAGACTCAATTTCCATGTCAAAAACCTAAATCGGTTTTGTGTATAGGGTACTAGTACTGAGAAGAACATGAGAAATGAATGAAGAAATAATAATGACAAAAACGGTTGAGAGAGAGAGAGAGAAAAAATTGGGATTTGTAACTTTTTGGTTACTGTGTTAAATGTTTGTGCGTCTCCAGAAAAATTACACAAAACACAGAGAACATGAAAACATAAGACTATGTCTCCTTGTTGTAGAACCGTTGTGGTTGGGAAAGGAGTAATTGAAGTTAAGGAAAAAAGAAGGACAGAACACACAGACACAGACGGCGGACGAAACAGTGTCGGACAGCGTTAATTCCGCTTTCAATTTCTCTAACTCAACAAGCTAAAGCTTCTTCAAACATTTCTTTCTCTAGTCTTTGTGTTAAAACTTAACTTGTGTTTCTGTATAAAATATTTAATAAATATAATTTAATTAAATTAAATTCATTATTATTAATAATAATAGTAGTAATAATAAAGGAGGAACAGTACCACAGTCTTTTACAGCTATCTCTGCACTGCAAACGCCGCCATGCCCCTCTCTTTCTCTCTGAACACTCTGAAATTTCTCCTTCCTTTGATTTATTATATTAATTTTAATTATATTTTTTCTCTTTCTCTCTCTCTCTCACTATCTCATTTTTTTTGTTTCATAGTTTATGAGAGCTCTTTTTTTAGTTCTGACGAGTTGCTCCTTTTGTGTCTGAATCCTCGTGTTTATCTTTACACAATGACAAAACCACTACACACATTAACTATAACTATACTTCTTCTTCTTCTCTCTCTCTTCAACTATCTATCTAATGTTATTATGTTATGGGGTAAGATTGATCCATAGATGAATGAATGTATGAACGTTGTTGTTTTGTGTCATCCATCTCATATCTCAACGGTTGGTAGATGAAGTTTTTGTGAGAATCCAACGGTTTGGTATTTGCCACGTGTTAGAAGGAACAGCTTTCTCTGTCCCTTGTCCTTTGTACCGGAAAACACGCTGCTTTTCGTGATACATTGCTCCTTTTCTGTTCACTATTTTATGTTTTTTACTTCCATTCTATTTTTTCAAGTATATTAATATTTTCATTTTTTTTGTTGTTACTTTTCATTTTTCAATATAATATAAATTGTTTTTCATTCATACAGTATTATTTAATTAATAATATGGATATTAGTTTTAAATGATAATTTTCCACTTATTTTTATATGTGAAAATTTCATACTTTCTAAAGTTCATTTTTTAAATTCTGGATAATATTTTTATTAAGTCTAACCTCACACAAATTGAGTATTATTAAAAATTATGAATTAAATTGCATCTATTTATTTTAAATTTAAAAAGAAAATTTAATTTTTATAAAAAAAAATTTAAATTTTTTCAAATTCTATCAATTTTTTTTTTAAATTAAAGATTAATTTTGATATAACATAAACATATATTATTAAAAATTAAGATATATTAGAATTTTTTTTAAAATATACATCTTAGAAATAATTTTTATGAAAAGTTATAAAGTTGTTCTAAAATTTTATCCTATAAATCTTAAATGCTTACATTAATATTTATTTTTACTTATGTATTAAATATACAAATATTTAATATTTATAAATTAATAAATTTTAAAAAATAACATAAAAAAGACTAAATTCTAGAAATATAGATTAAATACTTGCTAACTAAAAATAATATATTTGGACCACAAGTGATTGGAGTTTATTCCTTTCAATTATGCAGAATAATTTTTTTTTTTTATATTAAACAATCTTATTCAAATGAAAAAAAGAGTGTACAATCATAGAGAAAATATTGTGTTACGGTATTTCTCAACTATAAATTAACAACAATTCTAATAATTAAAACAAATAAGCTATAGATATCTAAAAACTTTGAGAATTTAAAAATCAATAGAGAATTATCAATTTAAATTCTTAATCCAAACAACTAAATAAAATTCTTTCAAAAGAGAAAAGCTTTCTAGAGAGAAAGGAGTGCATCTCTCTAAAAAAAAAGGGATGCGGCTGAACCAAAATGTTCTTTTAATTATGCACAATAATTATTTTGATGAAATGTTTGCAAAAATATTATACAACTTGTCTCCAATCTTTTATTAAATTGTAATTCATAGTGTCGAAAAGATTTGATTTGTTTTAAATTTAAATAGATTTGATTTAAGTCTAGAATAGATTTGATTTGATTTACTAACAAAATAAATATTTTGAGTTTTGGGCTTAGGGTGTAAGCTCAGTTATAAATAGAGGGAGTAACCCCTATTTTTTTGTAAACAAGTCAATTAAGTTGTATTCACAGAATTTGCAGTTGCAAGTGAATAACAAAGTTTTTTACAGTTTGTGGGCAGAGAGAAACTTTGCAGAAAATAATTGTCTTCTTTCTTTTCTTTTCGTTCTCATAATTCATTGTCATTGAGGAGAAATTAATCATAGATATTTTGTGGATTTCCAACATCTGGTATCAAAAGCTTTTGTTTCGATTCAAGGGAAGCATCAATCAAGAACGATTGAAGAATTCACAATGACAAGTTATGGAAATGCAAACTATCCAACAACGCTACCAATTCTGAAAGTTGACAACTATGAGAATTGGTGCAAACAGATGAAAGTCTTATTCAGGTGTCAAGGTCTTTGGGATCTTGTAAAAGATGAAGTCGAAGCGCTTGGAGAAAACGCTTCAGAAGAAGAAAAGAAGAAATACATAGAATCTGAGAAGCTGAGTTATAAAACATTATTTATAATTCATCAATTTGTCAGCCCAAACAATTTTGAAAAGGTTAGTGATTTAGAATCTGCAAAAGAAGCTTGGGAGATCCTTGAGAAGTCTTTTGGAGGCGCTGAGAAGGTGAAAGAAGTGAGGTTACAAACTCACAAAAGGACGTATGAACTGCTTCAGATGGAAGACAGTGAAAGCATATCTGATTTCTTCACTAGAGTTACAAAACTAGTAAATCAAATCAAGATATATGGAGAAACGTTAACAACAAGAGCTGTTGTTTCGAAGATCTTGAGATCTTTAGCTCCTAAGTTCGACGACATAGTGGTGGCGATAGAAGAGGGGAAAGACTTGTCAAAATTGACAAAGGAAGAGCTTCAAGGGACGCTTGAATCTCATGAACAAAGAATGAACGAAAGAGCTACAGGCAAATCGAAGAGTGATGTGGCCTTGTAGGCACATTCGGCAAAAGAGACCAAAGGCAAAGGAAAGTGTTTCGACAGAGGTAGAGGTGGCTACAACAAATCGAATGGTAGAGGAAACTAGATCGAAAGAAACGTGTCGAATCAAAGAAGGCCATACCAATGCAACCAAAGAGGTGGTGTTGCAAATAGAGGAAGAGGTGGTGGTCGAAAACCTGATAAGAGTCATATTCAATGTTACAATTGTCAGAAGTATGGTCACTATTCGAGTGATTGTCCATAAAAACGAAAGAATCAAGAAAGTGATGCAAAGCTTGTAAAACATGAAGAAGAAGAGATGATGTTGATGGTCACAACAAGAGATGAAGATAGATTCAAGGACCAATGGTACTTGGACTCAGGATGCTCATCACATATGTCTGGAAGGAAAGACTGGTTTGTGAATATAAAGCCCTCAATGAAAAATATGGTAAAATTTGCAAATGACAATACCCTAGCAGCTGAAGGTATTGGTGATGTTATGATTATGAGGAAAGATGGCAAGAGGTCAGTAATTTCCAATGTATTGTACATACCAGGCATGAAGAGCAATTTGCTCAGTATAGGGCAGTTGGTCGAAAAGAATTATAAAGTGTCAATTAAAGATAAGATGATGAGAGTCGTTGATGCAAATGGGAGATTAATCTTGAAGGCTCCTATGTCTCAGAATCGAACCTTCAAGATTGAACTAAATGTGATGGAGCACAAGTGCCTTTCGACTGCAGCTAGTAGAGATGAATGGATATGGCATTACAGACTAGGTCATCTCAACTTCAGAGACATCCTAGATTTGAAGAGAAGAAATATGGTTTCAGGATTGCCAGAAATCGACATTCCAAACGAAGTATGTGAGGAATGTGTGCAGGCGAAGCAACACAAGAATAGCTTCAGCAAGGATGCAGGAAGCAGATCGAAGGCTATTCTTGAAGTCATATACTCTGATGTATGTGGACCAATCCAGGTGGATTCGATGGGAGGTAACAAATATTTTGTTACATTTATAGATGATTTCAGTCGAAATCTGTGGACTTATCTGATCAAGAATAAAAATGAAGTGATTGAAGTATTTGCCAAGTTTAAGTCTATGGTCGAAAGACAGAGTGGTCGAAAGCTCAAAGTTTTGAGAACTGATGGTGGTGGAGAATATGTGTCGAAAGACTTCGACAAACTATGTGAAAAGGAAGGGATTGTGCATGAGGTGGTGCCACCCTATACTCCACAACAAAATGGAATTGCAGAAAGGAAGAATCGAACCATCATGAATATGGTGAGAAGTATGTTAAAAGGCAAGAATTTACCTAAAGAGTTTTTGGGTGAAGCTGTTTCGACTGCAACATACATTTTGAACAGATGTCCCACGAAGAAGCTAGAAAGAATTACTCCAGAAGAATGTTGGTCTGGTGTGAAGCCTAGCTTGAGTCATATGAAGGTATTTGGATCTATTGCACATAGACATGTGCCAGATCAGTTGAGAAGAAAACTTGATGATAAGTCAAGTCAAATGATTCTAGTTGGATATCATTCGACAGGAGGCTACAAGTTGTTTGATCTAGTGAAAAAGCAGATTGTGATCAGCAGGGACGTGATCACATATGAGTTTAAAGAATGGGATTGGAATGAAAATGTCAAGAAAGATTCAGTGGGAATCCTATTTGAAGAACCAGAAACTCAAGTCGAAAGAGAAGTTCGACAAGAGGAACCAATATATATACCAAGTACAAGCAGACCTCAA